TTTTTCCTGGAGTGCTATTTTGTGATTGTTCAGAGGTCAATATGGGAAAGCAACATCAATTTACTGCTTAGTCTGCCATCTTGGCTCCCAAAAGTGGAAGAAAGGTCTCACCATATTTTTGATAGAATTAGCCCAGATACGCAATCAGCTGTAGCCCTGTCACAGCTGAAAGCCTGAAATTAATTATTCATCAGCCTTCCAAAAACCAGGGAATATATTCATGTGGCTTGATGCCCAGCAGTAGCTTCCCTTTATCTTTCAGCCATTGATTCTAGTTACATTTTCTAGGCCACATAAACACAATATGGTCATTCTTCTATATGATGTCCATTAAGATTTTGGAAGACCATCACTATGCCTTCCCTAGTTCTTTCTTTTTCCAGGATAAACATCTAGTGTTCAGTAGAGTTATCTTTGAATTTCAAGGAATCTGTCATGTTAAGTATACATAAGCAATTTTCTCCCTAATCTATCCTTTTCATTTCAGAATCCTATTTATCAAATCTTCAGATAGTAAAGTGAATACACTTTTACTTGCCCTAATTTAGGTGCACTCTATCCCTGTGTCCCCTCATTCTCATAATTTAAGATGTGATCTAGAGAGGCAGTGCTTTGCAGTAATGTTAGAGTTGATCTCACAATCAAGAAGACTTGGGATCAGATCTGCCCTTTGGACACTTGATATGTAAACCTGGGAAATTCACACAACCTTTAAATGTCCCCATGTTGTGCTCTAAGACTATAATTAATTAACTCATATGTCAGCTGCTACTCTACATTAGTAGAAGGAATTTCCTCACTGTGGGACTACCCAAACTGATGAAATTACAGGAATCTAAACTAATATCATCTAGAATATTTCATCTTCTCAGATATAATTTTCTTTCTTTTTTTTTTTGGCAATTGGGGTTAAGTGACTTGCCCAGGGTCACACAGCTAGTAAGTGTCAAATGTTTGGTCTGAGGCTGGATTTGAACTCAGGTCCTCCTGACTTCAGGGCGGGTGCTCTATCCACTGCGCCACCTAGCTGCCCCTCAAATATAATTTTCTAAACCAATTGATCACATTAAACTAACAATTCACTTCTAATTTTTGGCTCTTTTCTTATTCTATGTGTAGAAGATATTTCTTGTTTTTTATACAATTTGAGTCCTTTACTTAAAAGAATATTTTCAAAATGATGTCAGAGAAATGATCTAGAAAGATCTTGACAGATTAGAGTATTGTAATGAATAACTGAAAAAATATAATTCAATAGCAATACATTTAAAGGCTTATGCTTTGTCTAAGGGAAAGGCATGGTGAGACTATTAATCAAGAAACATTTATTAAGCACTTACTATGTGCACATAGAGACAGGTATGACTAAAGGACCGAGCAAAAACAATAAAATGTGCAAGACATTGTGCTAAATGCTGGGGATCCAAAAAGAGGCAAATGCAGTCCCTATTCAAAAGAAGCCCACAAACTAATGGAGGAGACAAAAAGAAAATAAATATGTAAAAATAAGTTACATTCAAGATAAATGCAAGAAATAGAAAAGAGCAGAGGCAAGATACTAGAATTAAGAGGGGTTGGGAAAAGTTTCTTATAGAAGTTGAGATTTTAGTTGAGTTAAAGAAAAACAGGGAATCTAGTAGGTGGAGATGAAGGTGGAGAGTATTCCAGGTATAAGGCACAGAGAAGCATGGAGCTGAGAAATGGAATATCTTGTTAGTGGAACAGCAAGGAGGCCAGTGTCACTGAATCAAAGAGTATGCAATGGGGAGCAAAAATATAAGGAGCCTGGACAGGTAGGAAGGACCTTTGCTATCAAGGGCCCAGCATGCTAAAACAACAATTTCCTATCTTATAATCAAGGCAATAGGGGTGCACTGGAATTTGTTGAGTAGAGGGAGTGACTTGTTTAGGTTGGAGCTTTGAGAAAATCCCTTGAGTTGCTTAATGGAAGGTGGATTAGAGTGAAGAGAAACTTGATGCAGGCACACCCACCAGGAGACTACTACAATAGTCCAGATCTGATGTGATAAGGGCTTGCACCAAGGTGGTGGTGAAGAAATAGAGTAAAAGCTGGTTTCAAAATGGAATTGATTGGGTGAAAGAATCAAGAGAACCAATCCAATTAATACGGACTCCATCTTGTGCTGCAATGTGTATTATCCTCCACCTTGTTTTTCTTTCTTTCGGCAAATAATTCATGGGAAAATAGATGGCATAAACCATCTATTGTTTCATCTATTATTTCATCAAACACAGGTGGAGGCAATTAATTGGCATATACAAAATCTGGGAAGGGAAAGACCTCCAAATCCACTTGCCCCTTCCCAATTTGACTGAAAATCACCCTTTCCCCCTTGCTAACTTGGAAAATCCATCATCTTTTCTCCAATTTGAAATCAGATTACTTAATCTTGTATCCTGGTTTCTATCCTGTTAATTGTTTTCTTTTAATGCATAAAAATTTGTCCCCCCACCATCTCTATGTAGCATCCAGTGCTAAGTCGCCACAGTGTGCTCTTGATTCATTATGCAATTGACATGCCTTGCTTAATAAGTCAATATACTTGGAAGCTTTAACCTTGAAGCATGAACCTTATATCTCAGTTATCTCAGATTTCATCCCTCTCAATATCAATGTTATAGAAAAAAGGGGAGTGGTGTTTAAGGGATTTTGCAAATCAATAGGCCATGACAACATATTGGATATGGAGAGCAGTGTGAAAGATAGTGATGATCAAGGTTGTGAGACAAAAGGGTTGGGGGAATGGTGTTGCCCTTCACCGTAATAGGAAAGGTAGGATATGGGAGGGGTTGAGTAAAAGTTAAATAGTTTTGTTTTGGACATGATGATTTTCAAATATCTACTGGACATCGAGGTTAAGATGTCTAAAAGGCAGTTGGATGTGTGAGACTGGAGTACAACAACTTTATGAAAGATCTAGGAGAATGGACTATGAAGTGAATATGATACACAAATGTGATAGTAGTGAAAGCTAAAGGGATCTTGGACAATATTAATTGAGGCACAGAGTCTTCGAAAAAGGAAGAGATCCCCTATCCAAAGTCTTATGTTCAGTTTTGGCAGCCTCATTTTAAGAAGGATATTTATGGCTAGCATTTGGTATTTAAGCTGAAGAATGTCCACTGGAAGATGGCCAAGTGAAAAGACTTCTTTCTCCATATGATATAGTGATCATTTGAAAGAGCTGGGGAAGTTTGGACTGGTGAAGAGAGGATTTAAAAGAGTGCGGCATGATAGGTTTATTCAAGAATTTAAAAGACTTTCTTGTGAAAGAAGAATCAAGCTTATTCTATTTTAGCAAAGAAGGGAGAAATAAGAGCAGAGTGGAAAGTGCCATGAAGTATACATGTATATGGTGGCAGGACAAACATGCGTCAAATTGTAGCTATCCAAAAGACTAATGGCCTGTAACTAGTAGGATCTATTTTATTGCGTGGTTCCCATTATGGAACTTAGAACAGTTTATTGCACTTAGTGAGTGCTTAATAAATTTTGATTTATTGATTCAAGCAGAAGCTATATGAGAATGTTTTGTGAATTTTAGAAAGGGAATTATTTTGGGTTTGGATTAGAAAAGAAAGTCACTGAGGGTAATCATTTCCATACTAATCTCTGAAAGTTTGTTGTTACTGTTGTTTTATAAAATCATTGGTCAATGATATGGTCAGTTTTAGTATCTCTCATATTTCCTGCATTTGGTTCCTTCAAAAGGACCATTCTCCTGCCTCTACACACTCAATCCTACTCTGTAGGGGAAAAGCACAAATATATGGAGATATGTATGCCTCAAGTCTGTCTCTGGGCACTGATGATTGCATTGACTGGATGTGAGTACAGTGCAACAAGGATCATCTTTTCCTATATAGAAGGATGCCAATTTGACCACAAAACTAAGTGACAGAATGGGCTCCCTCTTCAATTTTTGAGTACCACAAGTGAAGCTCAGTTCTGGGAAATTATAATGTGTAATCATTCAGTTAGTCAGAATTAAGTAAATGCTTACTATGTGTTTGGCATTGTAGTCAGCACTGGATATAGAGAGCCATCCCTCTTGAGGAGCTAACAATCTAAAGGGGAAGGCAAAAATTAAAAAAAAAAGTGTACAAATAAGCTCTATATAGGATAAATAGAAAATGATTAACAAGGCAAAGATGCTAGAATTAAGATGAATTGGAGGAGGCTTCCTTTAGAAGGTGAGATTTTACTGTGACTTGAAGGAAGCCAGGGAAGCCAGAAAATGGAAGTAAGGAGAGTGAGAGAGAATTGCAAGAATAAAGGATAGCCAGAGAAAATGTCTGCAGGTGCCAAGTGGTGGAGAATCTTGTTCATGAAACAACAAGAAGGCCAGCATTACTGTATAAAAAAGTGGTGGGGAAGGGTGATATAAAATATAAGAGGAGTGGAAAGGTGAAAGAGGGGAGCTTACTACAGGAAATGCTTTGAATGCCACACAGATATTGTATATTATCTTGAAGGAGATAGAGTCACTAGAGTTTGTTAATTAGGGGAGTGCCATGGTTAAATCTGCACTTTAGAATAATTACTTTGGTGGCTGAATGGAGGGTGAACTGGAATGAAGAAAGATTTGTGTCAGATAGACACACCAGTGGGCTACACATATTTTAATACTCCAGGTGTGGGGTCATAAGGTTGTGGCAGTATCAGATGAGAGGAAGGGGCTGCATTTGAGAGATATTGCAAAGGTGATATCAACAGACCTTGGCAATAGATTAGATAAAGGGTGTGAGAGATAGTGAGGAGTTGAGGGTAAAACAGGTTATGAACCTGGGGGATGTAAGCAACTCTCTGGGTTCCAGAGGTTCATTTCTACGTACCCCAGTAGAAAGTTAGATTTCATCCCACCTTCAAATAAGATAAAAAAAATTCCATAAGACTACAAATTAGCCTAGTATCTCTCATATAAGGGAGTCTTTCCCTTGGGCACCACCCAGTGATGAAGATTTCTCTTCCCTTTCAGCTTCACTCCACCCTGAACAACACCCAATTTAAGAACAGTGCTGGTGACCAGGTGTTTGTGGATGAAAGTAGAAGATATGAGGCTCAATATGCCATTATGAACTATTTGTTCTTTCCTAATGAGACTGATGCTGTGGTGAAAGTGAGGCAAGCTCCTCTTGGTCAAGATTTCACAATTTATGAGGGTGCCATAGTGTGGGGATTTTGGAATTCAAAGGTCAGAGACTATATGTTTGTCTGTATGTGTATGTATAGACACACACATACATATATAATATATATGTGTGTTGACCTTTGTATATACATGCAGACATACATGAGTGTGTGTGTATAATTTTTTCAATTAGCAAAAACTAATCTTTTCTCCTTCTCACTTCAATTCTTCCCTCTTTCCAATTGAGAGTTAAAGAAGATTAAAAACCCTATGTATACTGAAGCAAAACAAATTCCCACATTAGCCATGTCTAAAAACATCATGTCTTATTTTGCATTCCGGGTTCTTTATCTCTCTGTCAGGAAGAGGGTAGCCTGTTTCATCATCAATCCTCTGGACTTGTCATTGGTTATTACGCTGATCAGAGTTTCTAATTCTTTCAAAGTTGTTTGTTTTTGCCAAATCTTTGTTTTTATAGAATGAGTTCTCTTGGTTCTGCTCACTTCACTTGGCATTGGTTCATCCAAATCTCCTCTGGTTTCTCTGAAGCAATCCCCTTCATCATTTCTTACAACACAATACTACTTCATAATATATGCACACATATATATATATACACATACACACATATGTACATATAATGTGTGTATATGTCTGTGTGTGCATGTATATAACATGTTCAGATATTCTTCAATTTATGGGCACCATATCAAATTTCCATTCTTTGCTATTTCAAAAAGAGCTATAAATATTTTTGTATATCCTCAGTTACAGTTTATTTTGCCGAAGACTCAGCCTTCTTTTAATCTACCTTCTCTCTAATTTGTCATTCTCCCTCTAGTTATATTCTTCCCTTTTCTGAGCAGTTCATATAATAGTGAAGTTGCAGGGTCAGGCTCTCTCTACCCTTATTCCTGCTTTCTGAAGATATTTTCTTGTGCACCCCTTTTATATGAGATAATTTTGCTCAACCTTCTATTCCTTTTTGTCTCATAAAGTCAAGGGCTTCTATCTGGTTCATTCTAATTTCCAGAGTTTGTTTCCTGGGGACAATTGTGTTCTTCTTGTGTTCTGTTTAATCCCTTTCCAATATTTTCTTTGAAATCTCTCATTTATTTTCCAAGTTTTCCTCTATCACTCTGATTTCTTTGATAAATATATAACTCTTAAAAAATCTCTTGCTTCAGTTTGCCCAGGAATTGTTGTTGACTTTGTGCCCAATCTGTATTTCTCTTTGAAGCTTTTTTTGGTAGCTATTTTGTAGTTCTCTTCTTCTGGGCTTGTGTATTGAACATCACTATCATACAAAAAGCTTTTTATTCTATTCTTTTATTTGTTTGCTCATTCTTCCAGTCTACTTTCTTTAGATTTGTACAGTGATCACGTCAGACTATGGACACTTCTGGAGAGGAAGTCTGGAATAGTCCTTTTGCTGTTTTGTTGGGGTATTGAGTTTTGTCTTTTTCCAGGATGTCATGGATAATTGAAAGTGGGGATGTGGATATTTCAATGTTTTCAAAATGGTCTGATTCTGGGTAAAATCTGATTGCTTTCCATTACACTTCCCACCCTCCCTCACTCTGAATTCTCTAAGTTTCTGACCTGGGTTTGGGCTTGAGCAAAAGTAGAATGACTCAACTCCTGCCAACCAGTTGGGAAGCTCTGCTGATTCTGAATAATAGAACTGAAGGATTCTCTTGGATATGGGATTCTTTCCCTGCTCATTCCTCTGTTAGCATCAGACTGGGATAGAAAGAAACTGGAACTGTGACACTGCTCTGCACTCAGGGATCTGAGCCAAAAAGTTCCTGTTTACTACTGAATTTGCTCCTCTCTTCAAACACTATATAGATCCTGAGACAAATCCTTACCCAGAAGGTTACTCATGGGCACACATCCCCTTCTCAGTTCTTCCTGGATCTATTACTCAAAGCTGGATATGAGGGACAACACTACTAGAAGACCTGTTCCCATCAAGGTGTATTGGTATGACTCTAGGGTCTCCTCTTTCCCTGGTGCACAGTCTCATATGGCATTATCCTGGCCATAAAGTTTTTCTTGTGTCTGTAGACCTTGTGTCTATGAGCCCATGTCATTCTAGGCTGGAAAAATGACTGACTTTTTATTGGATCTATCCATCAGAATTAGTTCTGATCCATTTCTAGATTTGTTTGAGGGACTGAAGTGTACCACTCTTGTTCTGTTTCCTTTGAATAAGGTATACTCCTGGCACCTGGCATATACCTGGCACTCCTAATAGGTACCTGGCTACCTTGCCTTCACTTCTCCAAGGTCCCATTTGAACCAGGTCCTTTGACTCTAAAGCCAATGTCTTTTCCTAAGTAACAGAGAAACTTCTCTTTTCTTCTTTCTTCTTTAAACAAACTTCTGAATGAAAAGGTATAGGAGCCTTTCAAGAAATGTCTTCCAAAATGTGGAGAAATTATCAATATAATAGATCAGGAAGGGATTTCAAAGGTCATGGGACACTTACCTATTCATTTTACAGATGGGTCAGTTGAGGTTCCAAAATTCAAGCCTTTCCCAAGATCAATTACAAATCCAGTGCTCTCTACATTGCCATACCCTTTTGTGACTGAATGCAATGAATCCATTTAGATCAATTCAGTTAATCAAATAGCATTGAGGCTTCTAGAAGTTCTGTTGCCTCACCCTCCAAACTCCATTAATTTAGATTTCACAATGTGTGAAGTTGTTACAATGTGGGGCTGGTGGAGTTTGAAGTCAGAGACAATTAAAATGACACCTTTGTTCTTCTAATCACAGGCAGAATTCTTAGCTTATTAGGTGTAGTCTTCATTATGTATATTTATGTATAGAAAATATACAGTGGATACTTTCAAAAATAAGATCATAGACAAAGGTCTTGAAGAGACCATAGAGGCCACATAGTCCAATACCTTTAATTTTGAAGATGAAGAAGCTGATGTCCATCAAAGTTGAATGATTTACCCTAGAACAAAACCTGCTATGGAACATTTAAACTCAGTTCCTCTCATTTCAGAATTTATGTTATTTTGGGACAGCTAGGTGGTGCAGTGTATAGAGCTCCAGCCTTGGAGTCAGGAGGTCCTGAGTTCAAAACTAGTCTCAGACACACAACACTTACTAGCTGTGTGACCCTGTGCAAGTCACTTAACCCCATTGCCTAACCAAAAAAAAAAGAAAAAAAAGAATTTTTGTTATTTCCATCATGACACTGAATCACCTTTTTTATCTTTTCTCCTTTGAGTAGGCTTCTGAAGGAAAAATAAGCACTCAAGTATATGTTTGCTAAACTTGGTATCATTATAATCACAGCAACTTTAACAACTAAGGACTTTAAATAGCATTTAGTCTACCTTCTTTAACTGATAGAAACTGAGCTTCAGAAATATAGTGTCTTGCCCAAGATGCCCCAAGATACTTCCAAATTCAGTATTCTTTCCACTGTCCTACACTCATGTGAATGAGAATAAAACATTCATTTAGACTGATACAGGGAAAAAATGATGTTGAGCCCTCTAGAGTCTCTGTTCCTATGGAGCTTAAAAATGATTTGACTTTTAAATTTCCTATAATTGGTTGATTTTTCTCAATGTTCCATAATAGGCTGTTTTTCTTGAGGACTTTCATATTAATTGCTACAATTCCTTATCACTTCACTCTTCTGGTCTATCAACTCTAATGTTCTTGAAAACTGGCTGGAAATAGATCAACAAATTTTAGGTTTGTCAAAAGCTTTTTCTCCAACATTTTGGGTAATGATCATCCACGTTATATTTCATAACCACAGAATTCCAGACCTAAGACCATGTAGTCCGATTCAGTTAGTTTAACAAAGATGAAACTGAAGTCAGTCCCCAAGGTTCAAAAGTTAGTCAAAATAACACAACTAGTGCCAAGTGTGGGGTTAAGATCCAGATATTTCAGCTGGTGAATATTTCAAAACTTTTACTTCTGATTAAGGTATAAATCTCATAACTTTTAATATAGATAGCCAGGTTTCAGGGATTATGACCCTTACATGTAATTAGGCAACATTCACACCAAACTTATTAACCTGCTACATGACTCATTGACATATTAATTCTCACCCCAAGTTTAAGACAGTCAAGCCATATGTTATGATATTTTCTAATAAATGAACAATTCATTTCACTAATGAATTAACTATGATCCTCCATTCAAGAATCAAATTTCCTTCAGAAGTGTTCTCTCTCTCTCTCTCTCTCTCTCTCTCTCTCTCTCTCCCCCCTTCACCCCTTCCACCACCACAGATTTAAATGTAGGTCAATGTCATTTGCTATCTAATTAATTACTAGAAAAATGAGCAATATTAATGCACATTTAAATACTTCAACAATGTTGAAAACTCATAGGAACTCACCAATAAATGTCGACTGCAACTGCTGACTTCTCAGCTCTGGAATAATTTTCCACCACTCACCTCTCTTAGGATGTTAATGCCTCTTCTTAAGAAGTTTCCTGGCAAAAAAAAAGTTTCTTTAATCAGTTTTTCAGAAAAAGGTCCTTTTAGTCTTCTATCTGTGCTTAGTTTCTCTGCAGGCACAACAGATGAGAGCTTCTCCAAATTAACAGTAAAACTACAACTTTCAACAGGAATCTTTTCCCTCTTAAAGATGTATAAAAGGAAGGGGCAAAGGAAGGGGTATTTATTAATCACCTAATGTGTGCCAGGTGGATTATAAATATAATCTGATTTTATTCTGCTAAAATTCATGTAACATAAGTAATATCATTATTCCATTTTGAAGTTTAGTAAACTGAACCAGACAGAGGTTAAGTGACTTTCCCAGGGCCACATAGCTAACACACTGGATTTGAATTTAGGTCTTCCTAAATCCAAACTAAGTACTCTATCTTCACTGCCCCTTAACTGTCTTTCCCAATGGTTATCAAACTAGTGTTACAGACAAAATAAGTTCCTTTTTCTACTCAAGACCTTAGTAGTTCACAGTTAAAGATGTGTTTTCCACTCCCATATTATTTTCTTAGGTTCCCTGTGGAGTATGCAGTGACAGTTGTGGTCCAGGATTCAGGAAGACCCCTTTGGAAGGGCAGGCTGCCTGCTGCTTTGACTGCTCCCCATGCCCAGAAGGGGAGATCTCCAGGCAGATGGGTGAGTTTCTACAGGGATCTTCCTTCTCATGGCCACTGATATAGGAAAAAACAAACAAACAACAGGTATTATGGAACTGACACCTACAACCCCCAGGAACTTCAGTGTCTTAGTAAGAGATCATATGAGAACAAGGAACACCAGAGGAATATCTTGAAATAAATATACATGGGTGGTGATTCTGATTCCACTACACAATACAAAGTATAATCTATAAGAAAAAGAATTACTTGCTGTCTTGTTTCTTTGATGAACTGAAATTCCTTAGCCTTGTCCTAGATATGTTGTGGAGCAAAGTTGTCCACAGGGTGTAAGGTTGTTGGATTCAAGATTTAATTGGGGATTTATTCTAAAATTAGATTGAATAAGATAATCTTAGAAAAAAAGACTTTCAACCAAGCAAGAAATCAAAGGTGGAGATGGAAATGAGGCTGTCTGGGTGCCTGAGGATGTAGAGTAATGTTAAGGTTGAGTGACTCAAGGTGAGGTTTTTGTCTGGGATGAATCTTCAAAGGCCATTAGAAGAAATTGCTTTCATGTCAAGTACAGAGGAGGCACCCACTACATCCTTCCTTCCATGATAACACATGGCACTGTGATGTAAGATACCAAGAGTACCTAGAAGAGTAGATTTATTCTGGTGGACATCAAATAGTGTGGGATTTGAGAGTTTGTTTAAGGGAGTTTAAAATCAGGTACCAGGTGCCTGGTATCTAGAGAAACAAGGAAAGGGGAAGGGAACAGTTAAATCTCCCCTGCATGCTTTCTGATCTAAAATCAGTGCCATAAACTGGTAGCTTTTGTGGATTACAGCTACCTTCTTTACAGTGTTCTTCCTTTATCCCTCTCTCTGTCTTTGTCTCTGCCTGTCATTACCTCTGTCTCTTTGTTTATGTCTGTCTGTCTGTCTCTTTCTGTTTCTTGCCCTCATTTCCCTCCCTCTCTTCATTCCTTTCTTTCACTTTTTTTCTCCTTTTATTTATTTGTCTCTCTGTTCCTTTTTCTGTCCCACTTCCTACCTACTCCCTTCCTCATCAGCTGTCATGCAAAATCCACTCCTAAATTGAATCCTGACTGAATTTTGTATGGTGCTTGAACTGTACTTCTTTCTGGGTTTATCCATCCACAACTAAACCAATGTCTATGCCAGGGCAGGGAGAATGTAACAATTTCTCTCAAGGACTAAAATTCCAAGATTTCACATAAGTTTCCCAACCTCTAAAATTCTGCCCATAGAGAGATCAGCCTGAATATCCAGTTACATCTGGGAAGAAGAAGGTTTTGGTAAGGGGTACTCAGCACATTGGTCCTACTCTGCAAATTACTTAATGACAAAGTAAAAATTATCGTTCAAGGAAGACTAGCCTTCAGGTGTGAGGGCTGCTCAGCCCTTTTCAGGGCTACTCATCCACCTTTGGTGTCCACTTCTCACCCAACTCTCACATGTGTTTCCAAGAAGCTGTAGCATGTACAGTGGTCACACCCCAGAAAAACCATCTTGGTAGATGAGCTAAACCAGGCTGAGGGGAACCGATTGGCCTCAAACTCATTGGTGAATCAGGAGGACATTTACCCCCAAACAGGGGAAGACTTCCTGTGTGGAATAGGTGAATGCAAACAATTTGTTCCAACAGCCATGAAGGTGGAAAAGCAGGCACTATGGAGCACTTAGAGCTTGGTGAGACATCAGAGACACCGAGGTCATCCACTGCATCCTGAGCCACCAATAATCATCTTGGCTTTTGTCTTGCCTCTGGACTCTAATGACTCTAGAATAGAGAGTGAGGCTGATGACTTCTCACAACTGTACCTCACTTAAATTCAATTTAATCTTAATTCAAAAGACATCACCCATACTATTTAATATTTTGTGGTTTTATTATTTAACTACTCAATTATTTTAGATTTTCTTTTTAAATTTTACTATTTAACTATTTAACTATCTTCTACAACTAAAGTGGAGAGGTAGTGCATGACTTTTTGTTCGTAGATGATTATGTACTCAATGCAGCCTCTGAGGGTGAGATGCAGCAAAGTATAGCTCAATTCTCTTCTGCTTGTGCTAATTTTGGTCTGACAATTAACACCAAGAAGACAGAGCTTCTCTACCAACCAGCACCTCACTATCCATCTGTGGGACCATCATTTACAGCCAATGGAGAAATTTTGAATGCTGTGGATAAGTTCACTTACCTTTACAGTATACTTTCCAGGGATGTCTACATAGATGATGAGGTTGACAGACACACTGCCAGAGCTACCTAACCATCTAGGAGGCTCCAAAACAATGTGTGGGACAAACAAAGCCAGTGCAACCAAGATTAGAAGGAAAACTGAAAGCTGGGAAACAATTTTTATGGCAAGTGTCTCTGATAAAGGCCTTATTTCTCAAATAAATAGAGAATTGAGTCAATTTTTTATAAGAATACAAGATATTCTTCAATTGAAAAGTGGTCAAAGGATATAAACAGGCAGTTTTCAGATGAAGAAATCAAGCCTATCTCTAGTCATATGAAGATTTGCTCTAAGTAACTTTGGATTAGAGAAATGCAAATTAAAACAACTCTGAGGTACCATCTCACACCTATCAGATTGGCTAATATGACAGAAAAGGAAAATGACAAGTGTTGGAGGGTATGAGGAAAAATTGGCACACCAATGCATTGCTGGTGGAGTTGTGAGCTGATCCAACCCTTCTGGAGAAGAATTTGAAACTATGCCCAAAGGGCAACCAAACTATGCATACCTTTTGATCAAGAAATATCACTACTAGGTCTGTATCCCAAAGAGATCATTAAAAAGGGAAAATGACCTACATATGCAAAAAGTTTTATAACATCTCTTTTTATATCTGCAAAAATTGGAAATTGAAAAATGTCCATCAATGGCTCAACAGACTGTGGTATATGGATATAATCAAATACTATTGTGTAATAAGACATGATGAGCTGTCAGATTTCAGAAAAACCTGAAGAGACATGGATAAGCTGGTGCACAGTGATATGAGCAGAACCAGGAAAATATTGTATGCAGTAATGGCAATACCATGTCATGATCAGCTATGAATGATTTAGCTTTTTGCAGCAATGCAATGACCCAAGACAATTACAAAGGACTCATGATGTAGAATTCTATCAGAGAAAGAACTGATGAATTCTGAACGCAGATTGAAGCATATTGTTTTCACTTTACTTTTTTGTGATTTTCTTCCGTTTGGTCTGTTTCTTCTTTCAGAACCGTGACTAATATGGAAATACATTTCACATGATTGCCCATATATAAACTATATCAAATTGCTTACCATTATAGGAAGAGGGGAGGGGAGGGAGGAAGAAAAATTGAGAACTCCAAATTTGGTAAAAATGAATGCTAAAAATTGCCTTTACATATAATTGGAAAAAAATAAAATATCATTTATAAAAGCAAAGAATGTGTGGGAGAGAGGAGATATTAGGCTGCCTCCAGAACTGAAGATCTATAGAGCCATTGTGCTCATCTCATTGTTGATGGTTCGTTGGTTGCTGTCCTTCTTTCTCAAAGATGACCAAAATGACATCATTATGTTAGAGTCAAGTTACAGTGTGTCCAACTATGGCCGATCAGGCAAATACAAGCTTGGAATGTTCTTTTTTCAGGTTAGGCACAAATACTCCATGTGAACATCTGGATTCTCTAAATTTGCACATTTCATGTTTCTTTTGAGCTACTCCAATTCTGTATTGCTCATAGAGCACAGCACTTTCTTTGATAAGGGTATGTCATGCTGGGTGGTCTCATGCCAGGGTCTCCTATGTCATTCAATTAATTCCCAAGTTCTTCAGGAAGATGTTGTATGCCTGTGAAAACTGAACAGTCTACCAGCGCCATGCCAGGAAACTGAATCAATTCTATTTGAATTGTCTTAGGAAGATTCTGAAGATCACCTGACTAGTTATGGTACCAGACACTGAGATCCTTTCTTGAGCTGAACTGCCAAGAATTCAAACTGTGATGTATATAGAACAACTATGATGGATCGGCCATGTTATTTGAATGCCAAACATACATTAATTTGCCTAAAAGACTATTTTACAAACAATTCACACAAGACAAGTGCTCAAATGGAGATGGGAAGAAGCAACACAAGGACACTTTCAAGCACTCTCTGAATAACTCTGGTATTGATTGTGAGACATGGGAGACACTGGCACAGGACCACCTAGCATGACATGCTAGAATCAAAGAAGATTATAGGAGCAAAGCAGAATTGCTGTAACTCAAAGGAAATGTGAGACACACAAATTTATAGACATCTCTATCTTGTATGTTTATACGTTTTTTTGGTGACTGATGTGTGGTAGAGCCTTCCAAGATCACATTGGTCTTATCAGCCACTGTTGGACACACTGTGTATTGACCCTGACATCATGATGTCATTTTGGTGCTCTGAGTATGAAGGACAACAACATATGAATGAATGAATATAGTATTGTTGCTCTGCATTCAGTCATATGTGACTCTTTGTGATCCCATGAACCAAAGCACGCCAGCCCTCTATATTCCCCTCTATCTCCTGAAGTCTGTCCAACTTCATGTTTATTGCTTTCATGACACTCCCTATCTATCTCATCATCTGCCATCCCCTTCTCCTTTTGCTTACAATCTTTCCCAAGATCAGGGTCTTTTTCAGTGAGTCCTGTCTTCTCATTATGTGGCCAAAGCATTTAAGCTTCAGCTTCAGTATTTGACCTTCAGGTGTACAGTCTGAGTTAATTTCTTTAAGAATTGATTGATTTGATCTTTTTGCTGTCCAGGGAATCTCAAAAGTTTTCTTCAGTGCTACAATTCAAAAGCAATTCTGTGGTGTTCAGCTTTACTTATAGTCCAACTCTCACAGACACACATTGCTACTGGAAAAATCATAGCTTTGACTATACACACCTTTGTTGGTAAGGTGTTGTCTCTGCTTTTTTGTATGCTGTCCAGAATTGCCATAGCTTTTCTTTCAAGGATCAAGTGTC